AAAAGAGAAGATAATTTCGAGTAGATTATATATATGCAGAAACTAATAAAAATAGTCGTAAACTGTCGATTGTACACTTCACTTTACGTGCGATTGTCAATAGCAAAACAATCGACCATATGAAGCGGGGAAATCTATTCTTGATGAAAGGTGTAAAGAAAGGTGTGTATATTTATAACGAGAAAAAGGGAAGGGGGGGGGGAGGAGGAGAGAAAACGAAGCAAAATATATCCTATTATAAAGCATTTATATCGCACTTCGAAGCATTTGCTTTTCAATCAAGTTTCTCTTTAGTTTTCTCAATATTACTAAAAATAAGCTTGTTCCGGTCTTTGTGTCAATAATTCAATTAAAAGATACTTCTGTATTTCATTGAGCGAAACCGCCGGTGGTTATTTGAAAGGAATTGGGTGATTATATTCTAGTATGCGTTCATCGCTTTTCTATCTATTCATAAACTAGATTATCTCTTTCATTTCCCTCTTCTCTCTCTCTCTCTCTCTCTCTCTCTCTATCTGCTCATGCTCCAGTTGAAAATTTATGCTAATTGAGGAACATTTCGCAATGGTCAGCAGTTTCCGGGATTTTTTGGTGTTTGCAGCATTACCCGCATCAGTGAATTCATTTACTTTGGAAACTACGAATAAAGTTAATATGTCGAATTTGCTTCTCATAATTCAACTTTGCATAATCACGTTCATTTTTATGCAATAATCATTGCGACATGCAAACGTGCGCGATTGTAAAGCGCGAGTATATATACAGGATTTCATTAACAATCCAGAAAAAAAAATTGATTTAACCTTTCGTTGTGTTTGCATAAAAGAAGCCATATGAGGTATTAACAGTACCTCTATTTCGTCCTTTACGACATTCAATTGAATTTCATTGACATTCAGTTGAAGAAAAATTTAATTTTTCCCATGAAAGTTCGTGTGAAGTAGAGGAATGTCTGAAAGAAGGAAAGGAAAATCGTGAGGATGAGCTGAATTGAAAATTCGACAGGTCGAATGACGCAAGTAGATTTTTCGGTACAGTCGACCGCACGCGTAAGATGCATAGGATGTGCCGGGCCGGAAATTCCGGCATCCTGGTGACTGGATGAACAACGTTAATAAGAAATGTGCTCTCGGGCAACGTGCACCGTGTACCGAGAAATTCAACGATGCAACTATGTCCTTCTCCGTTCTATCTCGCTGCCAGTTTCGGCTAATGTCGGGTCGCGCATTTTCAGAGAAACGACATTTGCAGGCTGTCGCAGTGTCGTTTTATTGTGGAATCGCTCTTATTCGCACGAGTAAAATATTCCAACTATTTTAAAATTCAATAAGCGAACTGGATAAAATCTTTTTCTACGTTTTTTCTCTACTTTTTTAATGCTTCCGTTCTGTTTTCAAATAAGAATATGGTATATCGGATATAGCGGTAATGTCTAACGCGAATGTTCCGGTAGATTTAAATTAATATTTTGTTTGATTTTATTAAAAAGTGCTCTTGTCGTATGTTTAACTGTATTAATTTAAGCTTTAAATAATTTTTAATGGAAGATAATTACTGTTGCTATACTTGATCTAATACGAAACTGATCCAGTAATAAAGAGCTAAAAAAAGTCTAGATTTCTCTTCCTTGGGGTAAATAAAAACTTTTCAAGTTGAACGTTGCAACATATGAAAAAATATCTGCGAATGTAATGAAGAAGAAGCACGTAGAGTTTTGTAAAACAAAGTACGTGGATTATAAAATGTACCTTGCGCGAGTAAGTAAGATTAATATGTAGGGAAGTAGAGAGCAATTGTTTTCACACGCATTGTGTGTACCGTTGTGTATACAAACACTCGCGTGTATTCTCTGATTACACAGAAATACAGAGGAGAATAAAATTTCTTAGTAGAGTTTTCTTGCTGTTAACAACACCGCTCGACCCAGATTCCGGTGATGGATCGATTGATTGCGCTGACAGATGATTCCTTTACATGACTTCTTACTTACGCGAGATGATGCGGCATAATTTGATCGAGCATCGCACTCGAGTATTTGTACGTGTTCGTATCAGCTCCTAATGTCAACTTGATGAATTGAGAGTATCAGAGTTAATTTCTTTCTGGATTGCAAGTAATATATATTGCAACTTTCCTAAGATTTTCCATGGAGTATAACGCTATATGAACGTTGTATTGCAAAATTGGAATCCAGAGTAAATTGGTTGTTAAATTCCGTCGATTACAGAGGCGTGATAATGTTTTATCACATTAAATGGATGAATAAACCTCCAATCTGAACAGATATATCTTTATCACATGTGATCTCACGTTAATTTAAACATCGTCATTGAATTATTTTCAACAGTTTCTATCGATACTTACAAAATCCTCGTGGTTAAACGTGATATTCATGGACCAGTCGGTTTTTATTAGCTATCTATCAACCCTTTCCGCAACATCCACGAGAACCGCGCCTGTTGCCTATTATACTCTCCATTTCCTGCTAGCCACTAAAGCATGAAATCCTTTGAGCCGTCTGCATATTTTACCGATACCGCAGTCATGTACAAATCGCATTTCTAGTAGCTATCTTTTATATAATCGAGAAGACGGAAGAGGTAATGGTGGCAACAGACAAAAAATATAGTATTCGAAATTTCTCAATTTTGAGAAATTTAATTTGATTATCATTTTCCTATAATTTTTATATCACAGTAGAATAATTAAGGTGAATTGCAAAAATAATTTTTTTTTCAATGCAAGAAAAAAATATAGTTTTGTTAATATTAAATGCAACTTTCTCGTTTTCAAAATGAGTAAATATTCATAATAAAGATAATAATATTAAAATAAATAGAAATTTTATATAAATATAGACTATAATTGTAATTTTATAAATCTGTTAATTATTCGTAACTATTATTGCATTTACTAGTTTTGAGATGAAGCTGAAACATCGATTAAATTGAACGAATTTTGTTCATCGCTTTCATTAAATAGATTACAGCAAGGAATCCTTGAGCTCCGTCAGGTCGTCGCTGCCCTAACGAGGCATGCGCCTTTCTCTAAGATGAGAGATATACATGCAACCCTTTCCTCTGTGTTCCTCTCTCTAAGAGACACTTCGGCAAGCTCCCACTTTGACCCTTAACGACGTAGCACGTGAAATTACATAGCGAAGCTATGTTTGATGAAGATTTTGCATCTATCGTGAGCTTTCTGCCTCGATCGCCTCTATACATTTGGAAAGATAATTTCATTTTCATTAATTATCTATATATATTTTCTTTCATGTTTTTGTATGCTTATATATTTTGTATCTAATAATATTTGTGTCCATCTCTATTATTGTTCGCAATTTTTTTTTTTAATCGCAAACAATAAATTTAATAATTGGTATAACTTTAATTAAATTTTATTTATAATAAAAATAAATAAATTACAATTTTTAGATATGCAAGAATTGTCACATAAGATAAACTATCGATCGGGAATATTTCTTATAGCAGGAAGCAGGGGTGCGTTACGTCACTAATAAAAAGAATATATGCACGTGGGTAGCAACCCTCTGTCACTCATCGTTAGGGCATAAATTGTCGCGTGTTGTTGGAAAATCACGGAGGTCGGTGGTTGGGAAACAGGCGCCGAGACGTCTCGACGCCGTTTCACTGGCGTCGTCTTCTCCAGGCTCCGGCTTTCTTCCTCCCCCTTTCTCTTTTGTCTATCCCCTTATATTTCTCTATTGATCTCTTCTTTCATCGTGCAACTGATCGCTCTCCATCCGCCATATTGCATTACATAATTATGTTACAAAATTACAAGGATGTACGTATTAAGTTTAAGATTCCTTCTTGTTTTCTACCTGATCCTTAAAAAAAAAAGAATTAATTAGTGTTCCAATAAATTGGTTAACTATATATAGTAACTAATATTTCATCAATTATTCATGTAGTATTATCAATTATTGATAGAGCTAACCAATTTATTGGAACAGTAACCAGTTCTTTTTCGTAAGAAAATATTAAAGCTATTTTTTGGAAAAACTTTTAATCAAAATAAGAATCTACACTTTTAGCAGATTACCGCGATTGAAAGTTATTTTATGTACTGTCAAATTTTGAAATATCAACGTAATGGAACAGGAAGGTTACTTCCGATATTGGGCGTGACGTGTGAGTATGATATAAGATTAAAATATTTTCGTCGGCGGGCATCAAGGGCGACATCATCTCTTGGGAAGCGTGTTTCATTTCAACGCTGTAGCACAAAGTTAGAGACAGAAATATACGTATTATAAAAAAATGTTATATTTTTCATAACTACCTCGATGATTTAAATGGTAAATTACTGCAGATTTCAGGTTTAACAAAATCCAAAAATGTATCAGAGCATAATTTAAGTAATTATTAAATAATTAAAGGAATTGGTAAAAAAAAATAAAAATTCAGGTTTATATATAATGAAAAATAAAAGAGAATTATAAAAATAAGGATCTTATTTATTTAAATATTAAGTAAAATAAGTTATTCACAGAGACAAATTCTCGGTTATGCTACTGATAAATTAAAGAAATAGTTTATTAAAAGAAATGTAACATTCATAAAAAAAAGATTAAATAAAATTAAATTTAAGGAAGGTAAAAAGATACAGTTATAAGTAAAAGATAAAAAATAACCTAATTAATAAACGAGGAACATAATTTGCTTATTTGTATAATTCACTCTAAACAAAATTTAATAATAAGCGGTAACTGTTTTATATGCAATTATAAGAGAAAATTATAACAAAAAAATTACGTATTTATAAAATAAAGTGACTCTATGAAGATTGCTCTTTTATAACAGATAAATCAATTGTACACAAGAATGGTGCATATTACTGAACCTTTATCAGATATAAGTCCAGAAATAGAAGTGTAAATAATTAATTAACATAAATAATCAACGCACATGAAACATGTAAAACTTCAATCAAAAGATGAAAAACATGAAGTAACAAGTTTCAATCTTTGTTTACAGGTTTCTGTGACTTTGATAGCGGTGTGAAAAACCACAAAGTAACAAAATGGCGGCGTTTGTGGCGAAGCAGATGGTCGGAAACAAGCTCAATGCGGTTAAAGGTACGTGATTTTGAAGAATGTTTTTTTTGTATCAAATTATATTTTCTTTTGACAGTTAATTAGCTAATTTATTTTTTACCTCTGTGATTCGAATTATTTCATGACATCTTTCATATCTTTCATGTCTATATCAGCACATTAAACGTAAATAATGAGAAAAATAAACTGTGATCTTCAATGTGTCTGTAAAAATCTGAAAACGCGAATATCTCAGGCTAAACGTTTTATCGCGATCACGAATGCCGCTTTCACGATAAAATTCAATCGTAACTGTAAAAGGAAACGCTTTAAAGACTTCTCGGAATTCCTTTCTATCTACACCAGTTTCAGCGAGACGTGACTCGCTGCAAATTTGTTTGCCGCCATCTTGGATAGACTCCGAGCGGAACATTACACCACTCGATTATTTTGACATGAAATATTCAATTTATCTTTTTTTTAAAAAAGATAAAAACTCAAATATTAAAATTATTGTAAGAGCTGTTCATTTAGCTTCTATTTATTATAAATGAAAGTATTCACTATAAACAAATATGTGAGACGACCGAGTAGTTTAAAATCCTTAAGACTGAAAGTGCAATGTTTTGAACATGTTATGCCTGGCACGTCGTGTATCAGCACGTTTTGCTTATGCAATTATCGTAAAACTGGATGGATCAGCATGCAATTACCGTGGCAGTCCTTGCAGCTATTATAGCCACGAGCATCTGCAGTAAAATTGCGCTATCTTTGCATACGCGCACATAGTCTTCGCCCTCGGAGTCATGTTCGTGTTTATCGTTGTATTGGAGCTATTATGTTTCGGAAATTCTCTATACGATTAATTTTCCTGTTGTAACACGCTTAGAGCATTTTCAACGAATGTATAATTAATACAGAGCTTTTCGAAATATTACTTTTAGAAATCAACTCTTGCAAGAGACAATAATGAAGGATTATGATAAGTAAAGGAAGCAAAATTTCAATCACATAATACATGTTATTAATCCACCAATTGGCCATTATTTTTTATTAATATGAAAATTAACGTTTTCAAATTTTGACCACAATTGCGATTAGAAATTAGTTGAAAATGATAGAGAGACGTATCTGTAGACAAACCGCGATGCCCTGTTCGTTCGTTCGTTCGTTCGTTCGTTCGCTTCTAGGATGTCGGCGGATTGAACGATGGCCGGCAATAAAACTTCTGTCATTAAGCGAAAGTTTCAGCTTTCGTGTGCGACGAAGCGGGGAAGCGTGTCGCGGGGAATCCATAATGGGAAAAGCGGGGGAAATGGGACCTTCCTCACAAATCGCGAACTCGACATCTACTTTGAATTCTTCATCCATTTGAGAGACGGGGAGAGTAGTTTTATAAAATAGAATAGATGGATATGATGTAGAACAGTAAACTTCCTCTTTGTTATTTTATACAATGTTTCGGGAAAACTTTCTCTTGTTCCTTCGAAATAACAAAGTAGATAGGCAAACTGCAATATAAAATTCTTGTAGGAGATTTTAACATGCAAATGTGCCGAATAAATGTATATATATTCTTTTTTAAATCTATGTATATAAAAGCTATATACATATATATATTGAGCTAAACAAAATATCTATGTATAAAAATTATAAATAAATATAAAAATTAAAACGAATCGCAAACAAACGAACGAACTATGATTAAAAGGGGAAAGGGAAATTAGAACGGATATAGTAGTGGGAGAGAAGAATCGGCAACCCAGACCTCAATTGCAGAAGCCAGGTTCAATGAAAGCCCACGACGGTTTTGCAAACTGAGCCGCATTTAGAAGTTTGGGTCGCGTGAGCCACGTCTCGTTTCTCTTTCCTACCTCTTCTGTCCTTTACTTCGAAACTCCAGCAGCTTTTTCGTTGCCTACGGAGGTTAATTGACATCCTGCTAATCGATCGACCGCGACCTATGGTATCGAAAACCTAACTACGATGAGTTGATGAAGTGCCAAAATAAAAAAGAGATAGATGAATCATGAGACTTTTTAATAAAAGCGTAGGATAGAATTAAATAATTGTTTTTCACGTAATGTTTTTGTTTCCATGATTTATTGGTTTAATTAACTTGCCACAACTTTTTAATTCTCAACATTACTTGAACAAATACCTAATACGATAGCGACATATATTATTGAACTTTAGCAAGTATCATTACTTGAATTAATGGTGTTTATTATAGACATTACCATTTAATCAATAAACTGAACTATTCGACGTTATCGCGATATGACAGACAATTGCCCCAATTAATTATGCGCTTCGTGATTTATTCGAGGAGACAACATGGGCATTTATATCGACGAATCATCGTGATAACACGGCTGTCCCTCATCTTTGACGTCAACAGAAATCCATTTTTAAAAATAATGCGGATTGTGATCGTTGAAAATCGAAAGACCGAGAAGACCTCGAGGAACAACGTATTCAAATCATCGTATTGTGTAATGTCGCAATTCGGTAGAAATTTTCCGGATAATTTCGACCGCGTACAGCATACAGAGATCGTAATTTATGTCCCAGATACAATTACGCAGTTGCCTGAGATAATTAACGTAATGATGTCACACACTCGTACGAGACAGGATACCTTAATTGCGGAACTTTCGCTCGTCGTTAACGATTTCCTCACGCGCGATATACTTGTTGCAATACAATAGTTGTGTGTACAATTACTCCCAAAAGTCGGAACAACATCGATTGTATCGAGCGATTTCACTACGGCTAAAAGCCGTATTCGTATAATTACTGCAGAATCTTCAAATTGAACATTTGATGGAAAAAAAATGTGCTTGACTTTTAAAATTGGACATTCTCTAAATAAGTTTTCCATATCCACAACTTAAAAATGTGTGCGCGTGTGTTTTTATTAATAAATTTCAGTTGGAATTCAAGATTTATTTCTCTAGATATTTAAAATTGGAAAATTGCGGGGAAATGGTGAAACTGACGTAAAGTAATTTGCATCGCAATATTTTCCACAATAACATCAGAATTTTAAGTAACGTGTCAATATATAATACAAGTCAATTTAGTAATTAAATATTTGACGTTCCTGCATTTGCAAATTATTCGTTAAATGTAGAATATTATTGATAAAATGCGGGAGCAAATGGTGTCGCCGTCGATTAAATGAATAAACGTTTAAAGATTCGTTAGTTAATATGATTGAGTTTCATTAAATGAAAAAAATATTGCTTTCATATATCTATGTTTCATATCACCAGACAAATTTTACATTTTTCGCTGCGATATCGTTTACTATTAATAATGAAAAACTTTTATTCGAAACAATTATTAACCAATCATCACTGTTTCAAGATATCCAAACAGTGCATCTACTTTAATTGAAGTCTCGTTTTGTAATATTGGACTAACGATTTGTCATATGATAGGGGAACGAAAACGAGGAACGTATGGCGGCGCAATCTGTCGGAGAAACGAGCAAAAAAGCTCGATATATTTCGTGCTTGCGTTTTTGCGGTTGGACGTACCGCCGATCGATCGTTCTAGTTTTGGTTCGTTAAAAAAAAAACTCATAGGGGATTTTATAAGAAATAACTTCGTTACGTGGAGTAGAAGGAAAAATAGAAAATTTGGACGCGACGAGATTCCATAATTTTCAGCTGTTTAATCGAGAAATTCTTGTTACTCGGTCATTGGTGTAGTTAAAAAAAGGATCTATAATGAGAGAGTCGGGCGATTTAGACTTTTGAGACATTCTATCAATTTTCATTGAATGATTTATTCTTCAATGATAGAGACATCGATCACTAATGCTAAAAATATGATGAGATGGAATTCTCATATTGCGAACTTTTTATCGGACGTACATTATTATGAGGAAGTTCTGTCTGAAACATCCGCACTTTTTCCGTGCGCGTATTGAAATTTTCGCCGCCGTTGCGCCGCGGCCGAGTTACGTGTATTTCTATGCGAGTCGATTTATAGCGATTTCGCATTACATACGACCGCTACGTTTAGCGATATTTAATTAAATCCCGTCTGGTAGGCGGAAACTTCTGTCGATAGTTCGAAACAGTTTGCAACCACTCTTACCACGGCCATCGGCCACGGCTCGCGGCGTGAATGGTCACGTGAACACAACAACCGTTATTTAGAAAGATCAGAATGTCCAGATAATGTGTGAGTCGTGAATCGTTTTGCATAACAAGAAAAATTCATATTGGACAAAAATATGAAACATGCAGGATTGCTTGAATAGAGGGTTGGGTGGAAGAAGATTGATACGTGTTTTAGCAAATGAAATAATAATAACAACTTTTTTTTGCTTATGTATAAAATTGGTTAGTAACAATAGTTAAATATAAAAAATACAAAAGCAAAAGTTTTGTATACGTTAGAAATAAAGCATCAAGCAAAGTTGTTATTATATAAAGATCTACAATATATACTGAAAAAAAAAATTAACTTGTTTCAACAGCATTATTTTAATTGAAAATAATCTTGTTGATTTATAACAACAGTATTAAATAAAACAAATAAAATTTTATTAAAACAAGAGCATGAGTATTTATTTTGTTAATGGTGTTATCGAATTAACAAAATTATTTTCAATTAAGGTAATGTTATTAACATATCATTTTTTTCGGTGTAATAAAAATATCTTAATCAGCACATAAATGAACAGAGCGAATTATACAACAAATAATTGAAACAATAAAGAGTAAATTCTTGCAATATTGATTTTATAATGATTAATATTTTTTCACGAAGATATCTCCATGGATTGTAACACTAAAGATTTTTCTTTATCTGTGTAGTAATATACTTTTTTATGACGTGCTGTCTCGTTATACGTTCAGCAGTACAGCTAGTCACTGCCGCGATGCGACGAGTATTTTCCTCCACCTTTTACATAATTTCATTAGAAGGGTCGAGTTAGTTTCATAAGCGTAGCAAAAATGCGGACAAGAAAAGAAATGTAAGGAATATGATAGGCTTGGAAATTTAATCAACTTTTTCTCTTT